AGGCACTCTTAATGTCCAGGAAAACAAGGATGGGGTTACGGTTGTGGTTGATGATACGATGCCGTTGGGCAAGTTCATGTAGGCACAAAGCTTGGTCCATGGCACTTCTTTGGGGTCGAAAGCCACCTTGTGCAAGATCCAGTTGGGGTGATGATTCATGCAGCGGGGCACGGAGACACTGTTCCATAATTTTGCGGATTACAGAGAGCAAGCTAATGGGACGATAGTTAGCTGCATGTGTAGGCTCACCTTTTTTATAGATAGGCACAACTTGTGCCAATCTCCAGGACAATGGCGTTATAGACCATTTCCAGCAAAGTTGAAAGAGGAGGGCAAGTGGGGGAGCAATGATATCGGAAACAGGTGCAAGCATTTCAGCTCTTAGGTGATCAACACCAGGAGCCTTCCTGCGAGCAGCATGTTCAATGGCTTCTTTGACGTCAAGAGTTGAGAAGGGATGATCATCGTCAAGTTGATGGGGAACGGGTTCTAGTGGTGGTGGTGATGGGCGGGTTGATGGTAAAAAAGATCCTGCATAAACCTGTTTGAGGTGGTTGGCCATTGTGTTGGCAGCTGCTGTGGAACCATTGGGGTGTGTGAATGTAGGTGAAGTCATGCGATGTTGTCGTATTCTTTTTATGGTGGCTGTTGTTTTGCCAAAGTCGTCTTTTGCCAGCTTTTCACAAAACTGTTTCCACGTCTCACGTTTGCGGCTTGCAATGAGACTCTTCATGTGTGTCTTAGCATCGGTATGTTGCTCGATCCAGAATGGGCGTTCTAACTCATCAGCGTGACGAAGGCGTTGATAGCAATATTCACGGCGATCAAAGGCTGCCTGAAGGTCATCGTTCCAAAACCATTTGTTACGGTTGTCACGAGTGCCTGGTTTCTTTCGGCCGATTGAGGTGTCAAGAGCTTTGTGAATTGCATCGGTGAAGGTGTTGGCTAAAGCGTCGATATCGGGTGGATGGTGATTATCATCGATAGCCAAGGTGAGTGATTCGATAATAGGTTGGAGGTTGGTGGTGAGGTGTGTGCTGTATTGTGAGCGAATCTCTGGATCTGACAGCTTGCTTAGGTGCCATAGTTGACGTGGATGTGGTTGTTGAGGTGGTGGAGGGCTGGATGGTGTGAACGACAAGGATACAGGCTTATGATCAGAACCAAGATCCATGTCATTCTCTATAGCTATAGAAGGTGAGTCAAGAGGGTTAGTGGACAAAAACAAATCAATAATGCTGGTGTCTTCACGTTCGTTAGTATATGTGTGGTAGGTGGGCTGTCCAAAGGCAAGAGTAGCATTCCAACATGTAATATTGTGATGCATAATGAAGTCATGCAAAGCCGTACCACGAGTATTGGAGCGAGAATCACCCAATAAACGACGATTACGAGCATTGAAGTCTCCACAAATGATGGTGTTGGTTTGTGAGGTGTGAGTGGATAGAGGTAAGGATTCAATGAAGTTGATGGCATCAATGTCGGAATAAGAGGCTGATGGTGGGAGGTATACGCAATGGATAAGAATGTCGGCAATTTGGCATGAAAGTAAATAAGGCGAGGTTGTAGGAATATGATGAACGGGATAAGGGCAATCAGGATGGACTAAAAGTGCAATGCCCATCTGACCACGTTTTGTGTTGGGTACGGGTTGGCCATATGTATGATATTGTTGCCATTGGGTGGGATAACGAGAGGGGGGTAAAAGCCATGTTTCTGTAATAAAAATTAGTGTTGAATAATCGAGCATACTTAATATTGGAGTGGCTGCTTGTTTTGCAAGACCACTAGCATTCCAGAGAGTGATGGTGATTTCACTACTCATTGATTATCGATGTTGGTGTTGGTTGCTGGTGAAGTAGATTCTGAAGGAGGTGTGGTATCCTCATCCATGGCGTTGTTGTCGTGGTCGTTGTCATTGTTGGCATTGTTTTCGGGTGTCGAAACAGCTGCCCCAAGTGCATGAAGAGCAGCCTTTTCTTGTTGTGCTTGTGTCTTTGGGCGGGGTGGTGGGCTGAACTTCTCGTAGTCGGCTTTGCTAATCATGTTTTTAGTAAAAAAGTAGCGAGCTACAGAGAATTTGACAGGTTCACGGATGAAGGTTAGTGCTTTGGTTAGTTTTTGTTGACGAAGGAGACGACATTGTTCCTTTCTATCCTCTTCAGTGACATGATCTTCACGCCATTTAGGATCAACCAAGTTAGCGGTGTCGAGTGGATTATAGTTTTTGGTGGGGATGCCCTTTTTGGTGAGGGCTTGTTCAAGGTCATCTGCATAATCGTTGTGTACAAGTAATGCTGCAAGGAGTCTTTGTGGAAAATGGATATCAAGAACACGTGCATTTTCAATACGTAGAGTACGCAAATAGTGGCGTAGCTTGCTGGTGGTCATGTAATGGCGTAGAGGGATATATACAAATTTATACCCTTGGCTGTCAGTGGTCGGTTGAAAGTGGCGAGCAACAGCAGCAATAGCTTTGCGTGATGGCGTTGGTTTACGGTTAGCAACAACTCGAGCTTTGTCAGCCCAAGTTGACTTAGGTGAGCTTTTGGGTGGTGGTGTCGTGCGTGATGCTGGTGTTGTAGTGGCTGCTGGTGGTTGAGTGTTGGTGGGCTGTTGGGTAGGTGCATGCTTAGATGCGGCTGTGCCTCCATAATCGGGATCATGTTTGCTGCGTAACATTGCGTTTTCACGTTCCAATTCTTTGACACGCTTTTGCAATGCGACGTTTTGCTCAACCAACTTTTGCATCTCTGCACGGAAGTCATTAAAGTCGTTAAGCAATTGATCATGGGCGTCAAGGCGTTTGTTGATATCAAGGATCCATGCTGGTGTCTCTGTCGATGTATGATAATCGATGGGTGGTGTTACAGCGGTGTTGGGTTCGATATTGGTGGTGGGTGTTGGTGTCACATCTATCATTGCTGTTGTATTTTGGTTGCTGTTGTTGGTTGCTTGCTTCTTTAATAGCATCAAGGCAGGTACCAATTTGCCATGATACATATGGCTATTGCATTTAGTACATTCAAACATGGGAGCAGGGGGGTCAAATTCAGTGTTAGTATCCTTGGCATACACGAGTGTACCTGTCGTGTGGCACGTAGCACATGGCAACGAGGCGAGATGGGTTTTTAGACCATCAAGAATTTTGGGGTCAAGGGCTGTTTTTTTCGTTTTTTCCTTTACGTATGGCTGTGCCTTTTGCTTTGTTGCAGCAGCAGCAGCTGTTGTTTTGCGTGTCTGAGCACCCATTTTTGGTGAGTGCGGTGGTGAGGCAGGTGGTGGTGAGGGTGTTGGTGATCGATGTGCACGTAGTTTTTTAACTAATGGCAATTGCGAGCTGCGTACAGGAATTGCTGAGGAGCGTTGTCTTTTGCTACTCGAAGGTAGGTTTGGTGACAAGGATTCGGCTACAGGTGCTGTGGTAGCTGTTGCTGTTGTTGTTGGGTCGTTACGAGGTGTTGTCGTCAAGGTGAGTGTGTTGGATAGGGAGGATATACGGGTTCTGATTGGCTGGTAAAACTGTTTTTCCAAAAGGCAAGTCTCTGCACAAAATGAAAAGTGTAGAGAAAGCGAAAGAGATGGAGAGATGGTTTAGGTTGGTTCAAGGCGTCAGGAGTTGGGTGCCCTGATCTTTTCGATTACACCAGAGTGAGGGTTATCACGCATTTCCATAAAGCGATCTAAACGCATCTTTTTGATGGTGGTCTTGAGAGTACGTCGATCGGCTTCTTGTGGAGGAGGTGGTAATTGGTTCCAAATGGTGTTGGTGGTCGTTAGCTTGTGCCAGAGATGGACATGGCTATTGGAGATGAGAGGCTTCATGATGGGTAAGAGAGCATCATCAGGGAGGGAGAAAGCACGGATGAGGAATTTTGCACCAAGGATGGCAACACGATCCTGCATTGTGGGAAGGTTGGCCATATGACGGAAAGCTTTTGTTGATGATTTGCTATGTCCGCCAAAGATTCTGCGTAAGCAGGAATCTTGTGCTTGTTCCAATTTGCGAAGGTGAGCCTTGTTGAAAGGTGTGATAGCCAAACCATATTCCATCTTTGGTCGGATGAATTGTTGGTAAAGGCGTATCGCAAGAAGGCGAGGGAAACCACGAGGATTGCAGCCCAATGTTTCAAGTGTTCGCATTGCTGCAATAGTTGAACTTGTGTTGCGTTGGATGAGGAGGGAGGGATCAATGCGTGTGCCATTGTTGAAGGGTATGCCCAAATATGCAAAGGAGTCAGCTGTTGGAATAGGGTGGTGGTAAAGTTGTAGAGGAGGAGAATTGCCCATACCAGATGCATTTATAACAATACATTTGGCAGGGTTCCAGCGATAGCCGAGTTGGTAGGAGTGGGCTTCAGCTATGGAAAGCAAGTGAGGCATGGTGGCAGCATCGGCAATCAAAACAACATCATCTGCATATAGTAAGCAATTCATCCACAGACCACTTACCGACCGATACAGAGGACGCACAGGCACAAAGTCATCATCATAGGGAGGTAGTGATTCTATATTACGAAGGGCATTGGGGAGCGAGTTGATGTAAAGGGAATAAAGGTGTGGAGAAAGAATTGAACCTTGAAGGACACCAGTGGCAGGATGAAAAGGATCTGAGGTAGCACCAGAGAGCAAGACTTGAATGGAGACATCATCAAACAAGCTGCGGAGGAGACCAAGTAAAGGATAAGAGGCACGAGTTTCCAGTTCACGCCAAATGATATTGCGATCAACGGTATCGTAGGCACT